AACAAATTTTACATTTTACCCTCAGAGTAAGGAAGTTGTTTCTATTAAAATAATATCTAAAACCATCAAATGTTTTAGTTAAAAGAGGTTCAAAATGAGAATCCCTCTTTACCTACTCTTGATGGTTTCTGCTAGTATCCAAAGAAACCAAATGTAAAGTATGAATTTTTTTTAAAGCAATTGATTTTAAAGATATATTCTCTAAGATGCATTGTGTTGAAATATTTAGCTTAACTTTTTCTAAACAGTGTTAGGATTTGGGGGAAAAAACTGGAACACAATTTAATAATGTTAAATTTAAAAATTCTTTGCATTTCTCTAAGTGAAAAGTAGTTAAAATAAATAAAAATAATATTTAGATTAATGTTACCACTTAGGCCTTGAATTGGCAATGTGACAAAGATATTAGTCTTATTTCTAGAAACAGAATATAAGCATTATGTCCTATTCAAGTTGTTATAATTTAATGAATAAAATGAGAACTTAAATATACACATATAGTTCATTACGTATGTTATAATGAAGTTGTATCATAATATAATAAAGCTAAATATTCTGTCTACATAACCTTATTTAAAGTACATTTCCTTGGTATTCAGTATGTATTATACACTTATTTACCTTTAAAGGGGCCATATGTATAACCTATAACCAGGACCAGGTCTTAATACTCCTTCCTATACATAGTTATATCACTACCACTATTGGTCAATACCATACCTCATTAGCACTTGCTACCATTATTTTCCATCTCCAACCATCTGCAGCCCAGCGATCTGCTACTTCTTTTTCTGAACAGATAATAAAATTATCAAAGTAGATATTAGAGGTCATAGACCAAAGCTCTAAACCCAGAGCACAGAAAGAAGTCAGAAGAAATGGATGATCATCTTCAAAGTAATCTGGATTAGGAATTTTTCGAGGACTCCAGATTCCCTGGAAGAAAAAATAATTGACATTTTCAAATAAAATAATTTCATTATAAATGCTGTTCAAGAAGTAGTAGCTGCTGAATGAAATTAGCAATACTAACTGGAGAAAAAGAAAACTTTAATTGATATTAATTCATTAGTAAAACACTGAAAGTAAAATCTTCTTTCTTCTTATTCTATATACAACATTCTCCATGAGTAACACTGACGTTAAACTCTGCAAAAAAGGCAGTGTGATAATAGAACACACACAGAAACCTGAGTAATTAAATTTCACAAATCATACTATTTTAGACAAGTTTTTTAGATTTAGTAAGAAGTTATTCAAAGCAAGATATTAAAGTTGCCCAAATCAGAAAGATCACTGTATAGTAAAAACGGGTCACCCCACTTAACATATACACATGATAGGCAGCATTAATTAATCATAGTTAAACTTCAGAACAACTATTCAACATAAGATTTCCATTAGATCTTAAATGATTAAACTGTCAATCAAATCAAATAAATTCAACAATATGATCACTCCCTGACTCACTCCACTATCACATATATCTAATTCTGTGCCGGGAACTATGCCAGATGATCAAGACAGACATGGTTCCTGTATTATGGAGTTTAAAGTCGAATGAAGGAGAAAGGTATTAAACAAAAAAAAAATTACCAAAATAAACATTTTGTGTTAAATACTATGAAAGAAAACTACAGTGAGTAATTAGAATATGTAACTGCAGATACACGATCTTAGAAAATATCAGTGAATAATTACAAAGATAAAACTAGAGGGTTAAACAGATAACATAGGGGCTTTTAATATAAAAAACTGGGAACACTCAAAAGATGTCTGATTCATATTATAAATTCCGTATTTTAGTAATACTAAAACATGAGCTGATTCTTTGAGTACAGGCATTAAGTACTAAAATGTACAATGTAAGTCTGCTTGATCAGAATTCATTTCTTATATTTATTTCTAAAATAGAACTTTGTTCCACAGTGAGCATCAACTGATTACTAGGGAAGAATACAGTCTGAGGTGATTTATCTTCAGTTTTTAATTTCATTCCCCTGGAAAATTAAATAAAGAATGCTTTACTTTTTAAATATAAATTAGTTGGGATCTATTTTCTTTGACTTCTTAAGATTACAAATTAAACTTCTAAAAGTTAACATAATATTATCGATATTATAATATATACAATAACAGACAATATCACATTCTTTAACTTTATACTAAGGAATTGGAACAAGCAGTTATTACCTGGTAGTTAGGATTATCAATCATTGGAGGTCTCCATATTCCTTTGTATTTTGGGTTGTCTATCATGGGAGGTTTCCACTCACCACACCCAATCTTACATGCTGGATTACTAATAAGAGGTGCCTCCCATTCTCCATCCATGTCCTCATTCCTTAGGATATTAAAACAAAACAAATACAGTAACCTTAAGTCTTAGGTGAATCATATAAGCCGTAACAAAAACACGAGTAAGAAACACTTGAAATTGACATTTGAAGATGAACAATGTTTACCAGTCATCAGGTTTTACAGCATTAGGATCCGGGATAAATTTTGGTTCATCATCAAGCCAGCCATCAGGTTTAACAACACTTAAATCTTCTATTTCGGCAGGTTCGTTTTCATCCCTGCAAATACAGCATTTTATGTTATCACTAATTACTAATTCAAAAAGTTTAAAAATGTATGTTACACAATTTAGAAGGGACCATAAAATTATTTCCTTTCTGTTTCTGTGCCTACTACCTCCTCCCATTGTCCATCTACCTAAATCTTGTGCAAACTTGCCCATTTTTTGTATATATTCCCTGTTGTGCTCTGTACATACATGCATATATGTATATATTCTTTTTTAACACTAATGACAGCATTCTATACATAGTATGTTAGACCTTACCATTAAAAACTCAGTCAACTCATCGATAAATATATATTGGATGCCTACTATTTGTCAAGACTATTCTAAGGGTTCCATTACATTTTTTTATATACATACACACACACGTATATATTTGCTTCATTCTTAACAGTTGCATAGTTTTATACTTGTGGATATACCATAATTTATTTAGCCTATCTCTTTTTGATGGATATTTAGTGTTCTAAAATTTTACTATTATAAAAAATGCTATAATAAATATCCTACAATATATGCCATTTTTCGCCAGTGAAGATATATTTGAGAGTATGTACATTTTAAATTTTGATCATATCTTCCAAATTATTCTCTGTAAAGGCTGTACTCCATTTCCTGTTCTACAAGCACCATATAACAATATCTATTTTCTCCTATCCTTGCCAACAGTGTTACCAAACTTTTAAATTTCTACCCATCTGATAGGTGAAAAATGGTATCTCACTGTACTTCTAATGTACATTTAACAGCATAACTAATATATTAAAAACATTTTTCCTATCTCATTACCTTTATATAAAGAAATTAGCCCTCTGTCAGTGATATGAATTGAAAATAATGCTTCCAGTTTCTCATGTGGTTTTTTGCCATATAAAAATCAATTATTTTCATGTAGTTGAATTTATTAATTGTTTTTAATGATTCTTGGATTTTATGTCACATTTGGAAAGATCTTCCCAATTCCAATATAATTTTTTTTAAAACTTTCCTTTTTATTTTAAAAATTAACACTTAGAAAGTAAATTCTAAAGTATATAAAGTATTAAACAGAATTACTAATATAATTTTCATCTTTACAGAAAAGTAGAAGTTTTAAATAAGAGGCTACTTCGTGATTTCCCAAACAAAACTTGAGTTACAAAATAAGCTACAATAATCAACTCTATAAATGTTTGGACTTGTACTTGGCTGATATCAATGTTACCTTGAGTCTCTAAGTGCTCAGAGTAACCAGAGGTTAAAATCTAAGGGAGCATTTCTTTTAGCACTTTATAAAACAAATTCTAACACATTTTACCAATCAGAATAAGGCTCTTACATGCAGTCTTTCTCATTTAAAGGCAAACTACTTTATGGGTAAACAGATAGGATGCAGTATTAGAAAGCCTACATGGAAGTATGTAGTCCTACCATTTCTGATAGTAGGAACATATGCATGAAAGTGATACACTGATAGTGACTTTTTATTAATTTTTTTAAAACCCACACTGCTCTTCCTACCTTGTACAAGTTACTTCCCCACTGTACTATTTGCCTGAAGGCAAAGACATTTTCACTACTAATCAGTATCTCTTTTGATCTCTAAGAGAGTTAACAAGTTAACACTTTTGGTTTTCCAGAAACAACACTCTTTGTTCCGAATAGGTAGTAACCCCAATGTTTACAAACAAACAAGAACTTAAAGAAATAGGAATAGACAACTTCGAAAATAAAGTACAGGGAGGAAAGCCAGTTTAAAATTAAGGAACGCATCTTCAGTAATTTATGAGCCAATCCAAAGCAGCCTAACACATAGTTAAGTGGAGTTCCCAAAAAAAGAGATAGCAAGGAACATATAAATATTTGAAGAAATAATGGCCAAATATTATTCAAATTTGATACAAACTAAAACTCCACATTCCAAGAATCTCAAAGAACCCACAGTAAGGTAAACGTAAGAAAACCACATCAAGGCACAGCAAAACTAAACTGTTGGAAACTGGTAGTGACGAAACAAATCTTAAAACCAAACCAAGTGACATATTAGGTAGAAGAGAACAAAGATGAGAATAACAACTGACTTCTTGTTAGAAACAATGCAAGCCCCAAGGCAGGGAATAACTTATGAAAAGATACTATCAACCTATAATCCAGTAGTGACTATATCCTTCAAAAGCAAAGGCAAAATAAAGAAATTTTCAGACAAATAAAAGTTGAGAGAATTCATTGACAGCAGACAAACACTACATGTAAAGAGAATTTTTTCAGGCAGAAGAAAAATGACAACAGATAGAAATTTGTATCTACACAAAAGGAAGAACAGTCCCAGAAACGGTAAATATATGGGTAAATAAAAGGACTTTCCCCCTTATATGATTAAAAGACACTGAGTAAAGAACAAACGTGTGTGGCCTTCAGAGTGGATGTAGAACTAAATGTATGAAACAGCACAAAGGATACAAGGGGGAAAATATAAGACTTGTATAAGGTTAAATTAGATATGAAGCGGTACGTTATTATTTGAAGGTAGACTGAGGTAAATTAAAGATGCATATTGTAAGGTGGAACAAGCACTGAAACAATAAACTAGAGAGGAAAATCTAATAAGCCAACAGAGAAGGAAAAAGGGAATACTAAAATAAAGAAAAATAAAAAGAAGTCAGAAAAAAATTTTTATAAAGGACCACAGAATGTATAGAACAAATAGAAAACAAGTAGTGAGATGGTAGGTTTACATCTAACCATATCAATGCCTACATTAAATGCAGATGGTTCAAATATTCCAATTAAAAAGAAAGACCCTAATATACATTGCCTACAAGAAAGCCACTTTAAAAATAAAGGCATGTATAGGTTACAAGTAAACAATGGAAAATAATATTAAATGTAAACATGATTTGAAAGAAAGCAGGAGGGCTGATTTAATATTAAACCAAGTGGACTTCAAGACAGCATCACAAAAGTTTATAAAGAAGCATATTTTATAATAATAAAAGGGTCAGTTGCTCAAGAGGTCATGAAATACTGTGAATGAATCTAGTATAACAGATCTTCAAAATACACGAAGCAAAAACCGACAGAACTGAAAGTAAAGACAAATCCACAATTACAGTTGAAGATTTTAATACCCTTTTCTCCATAAGAAAACAGACTGAAAACCAGGAAGGACACAGAAACCTTGAAGAACACTATCAACCAATCTGATGTAACTAATATATATATTTTTAAAGTCTGAACTCACACTGAATATTTTCTTATGACCACAATGGAATTAAATCAGGAGTCGAAATGAAAATTATAGCTGGAAAATCTATAAATAATTTACAGTAAAGCAACACATTAAAAAAGCACATGGATCAAAGAAGAAATCCTTAGGGAAATTAGAAAACAGTCTGAACTGAATGCTATTGTAAATAACATATTTGTGGAATGTAGTTAAAGCAGCACTTAGAGAAAATTTACAGCTGCTTCTATTAGAAAAAGAAGATTTTCTACACAAATAGAGGAGAAAAAGAGAAACAAATTAAGTCCAATGTAAGAAGGATGGAAATAATGTAGAAAGAGGTCAACGGAGGGCGAAAAACTATTATAAAAGCTGGTTCTTTAAACTGATAAATAAAATTGATAAACCTCTAGCTATACATACCAGGGAAGGAGGAAACCCATATTAGCAAAACCATAAATGAAAGTGGGGACATCAGTGTGGGTGGTTACAGACATTAAATGGATGATGAGATGCTGGAACAATTAGACATCTACATGGTTTAAAATGTACAGTAGTCCCCCCCTCATCCAACGTTTTGCTTTCTGTAGTCTCAGTTACCCACAGGTATGATGTGAATTGTCATCTCATATCATCACAAGAAGGGTGAGTACAATACAATAAGATATTTTGACAGAGAGACCATATTCACATAATTTTATTACAGTATACTGTTACAATTGTATTTTAGTTATTGTTGTTAATCTCTTATATGCCTAAGTTATAAATTAAACTTTATCATAGGCTTACATGCATAGGAAAAAGCATAGTATTTATCAGGTTTGGTACCATTCTCAGTTTCAGGCGCACACTGGGGGTCTTGGAACACATCCCCCACAGATAAGGGGGGACCACTACTGTATCTTGATTTATATCTCATACTATATACAACAATTAACTCCAGAACAGAGTTTTAGTGAAAATTATTTGTCTAGAAGAAAAAAAAGAAAATAATTGTGACCTTCATTTAGGCAAAGATTCCTTAGGTAAGACACACAAAGCATGAATTATCAAAGATAAATATCAACCAGCTGGACTTCATGAAAATTTTAAACTTATCTCTGTTAAGAAAATTGAGACAAGCCCTCGACTGAGAGGAAATATTGGCAATACTACGTATCTGTATCAATTGTCCATTGCTGCATAATAAATCACCTTAAAATTTTGGGGCTTAAAATAACCACATCTATTACTGCATAGTTTCTGTAGGTCAGGGATCTGAGAACAACTTACTTAGGTCCTGGGCTTCAGGGTCTCTGACAGGCTGCAATTGAGGTGTTGGTCAGGACTGCAGTCCTCTCTGTCGGAAGCAGACAGCTTCGGAAATGGTATCCCAATGCTTCCTGCCTTCTGGTAATGCATACCCATGTGCAATCCCCTCCCCCTGAGTGTGGGCTGGGCCTAATAACTTGCTATTAATGAACCAAAATTGGTCATGGGATGTTACTGCCAAAATTAAATTATAAAGACATGTATTAGCTTCCTGGGGCTGCTGGAACAAATTACCAAAAATTGAGTGGCTTCTAAACAGAAGTTTATTCTCTCCTAGCTGTGAAGGCTGGAAGTCCAAGATCACAGTTGCAGGCAGGGCCATGCTCTCTCCGAAGGCTCAGGGAAGGATCCTCCCGTGCTTCCTCCAAGCCTCTAGTGGTTGCTGGCAATCTTTGGCATCCCTTGGCTTGCATGTTGATCATTCCATCTCTGCCTCCTGTGTCACATGGCATTCTGTCTCCATCCAAATTTTCCTCTTCTTAGAACAACACCAGTCACGTGGGATTGAGGGCACACTCTGATCTAGCACGACCTCCTCTTAACTTGGTTACATTACAAAGACCCTACTTCCAAATAAGGTCACAATCACAGGTTGTGGGGAGGCATGAATTTTTGGAGGACTCTGTTATAGATTGTGAATTTCATCTTCTTCACATTCTCCCTCTTCTGCTCATCCTTGATTCATTTGCTAAAGAGAGCTGCTGTGTTGTGAGCTACTCTATGGAAATACAAGGAACTCTGCAATGTGGGAAGGCTGTCCAATACCCAGTAAGGAAATGAGGCCCATAGTCCAACAACAACAATTCAACAACAACAATTCCCTTGAGGAACTGAATCCTGCCAAAAACCACCAGAGACTGAAAATGTGTCTACCCCCAGTTGAGCCTTAAGAGCAGGGTTGGAAGTGGATCCTCCAGCTGGTACCAGATCTTCAGATGACTGCAGCTCTGGCCACTGGCAGCTTGACTGCAACCTCAGGAGAGGGCCTGAGCCATAACCATTCAGCTAAGCTACTCCCAGATGCCTAACTCTTAGAAACCAGGTGAGATAATAAATGTTTGCTGTCTTCAGCTGCTAAATTGTTGGGTAATTTGTTACACAGCAACAGCTAATTAACATGGTGGATTAAATACAAAAAGACAGATAATCTGCTTAGCAAAACCATAATTAAGGTTTACCCAATCAGCTGAAAAAAAAAGTTCTTGGGACTAAAGGAAACAAGATCTTTACGGAGAACTTAGAAAATATATTTGAAGGACAAAGAACACCTCAGTAAGTGGAGAGAGATACAGATATCTCTCCTCTTCTGAACTCAAGCTATGGAAACTCAGGAACTAAATATATTTCTTTTAAGGAAAATATTCATAATCCTGCAGAGTGGAAACAATACAAATAGCTAGTGAAAACTCTGTGGTTCAGCACACTGGTTGGTATGAATGAATCCTGTATAGTTCTGTAAGATATTGAGAATATGGCTATTTTAAGGCTAAGTAATCATTAACTGAAAAAGACTGCAACTGTATAAAATATTCACACACATACTATAAAGATCAAACTAGGAATTAAAATTAAAGTGTTGGTGTTTTAGATTTATGAAATGTTTCCCACAGCATTGAAGGCATAAAAAGTAAACATACACTGAAACTGTGACAAAATTAAAATATTAATTAAAATAAAAAGAGAAAATTAAAAGGCAGGGAAGTGAAAAATTCATTTTAGAAACTATTTCACCCCAAATACTCAAAATAAGTGCTATTTAAAAGACTAAGCTTAAAAAAAAAAAAAAGACTAAGCTTCATTGGTTATAAACTTCTCTTATATGTCTTGTTACTTAAATATGCCAAAGAATGCTTTGCTACTGAATTGTTCACTTACCAATCCTCTGGTTTGACGGCAGAGGAATCAGGGATTTTTGCTCTTTCATCCCACTCATCAGGTTTTCTATCATCGGGATCATCAATTTCTTTGGGAGGATTGACAGGAGGAACCACATCATTTAGCAGGTTTCCTTTGTTTACAACTATTTGATCAATCAGTACCTCGAATGTGTCATCTGGATTCATTACTAAAGACCAATTTAAATATATTGTAGTTATAATTTTAATAGACATCTTAAAGATAATCTTCTAAATAATGAAACCACCCTAAACTTCATGGGTAACTTTTTCTCCCATTCTCCCAACCAGAAACAGAGGAATAACTAATGTATTAAATCAAAACATGCTGAAATCACTAGATGTGATATTTTCTAAAATGAAGATAAAATTTTGTTTTAAACTGTGTTTTTTATAATAAAATGCTCCATTACTTCTCAAATAAAAAATACCCAATAGCTAGTTCTGTTTGGGACTCCTGACCAGTCAGCTTCATTCTTTTATAGGTACAGAATAGAATCCAATCTTCTTTAGCATTTTTTAATTTTTTTGAAACAATCTCAAACTTACGGAGTTGCAAGTACACTACAAAAAACTTAAATTTTTTCCTGAACCAGTTAAGAGTCCGTTACTGACCTCACACACATCACCCCTAAATGTTTTAATATCTATTTCCTACAAACAAGGACATTCTTCTACCTAGCCCCAATCCAGCCACCAAAATCAGGAAATTAACACTGATACGTTATCACTTCACAGAAATCTCTGAAGGTTCATTGGCATTTCCAATTCAATGACTCATGTACTGTTCTGTTAAATATCTTAAGGGTGATTTAAAATATTCAGGCTTATACTTACCTGCATGTTTATTTCAAGGTAAACTCTAGCAATCTAAAAATCACCAAGCCACAAATGTCACAAAGGGACTCCCTTATCCTTTGTAATGACAAAATGAAAGATATCTCCTCCTTCTGTCAATATGGGGGTCACTGAATACGATTTAAATCTTTGGGAAGAATGATGGATGAAAGTAGATGCCTAACATTTGCTTTCAATAAGTGAAAGAAATTAAGAGCTGTCAACAAATGTCAGGATCATCTTAATTTAAGTAGTGAAGTGGGCTACCACTTTCTGAAGAAATAGCCCTGAAGTTATAACAATCTCCAGAGGTTTCAGTCACAACAACGCTAAATTATTCATACCAAAATTGAATAGTACAATTTATACGCAAACTCAAATAATGCAAACTCACACTATTTTCTCCCTTCTTTTTTCCTCACTATTTACTATTCTCTTCCAGCTGACACTATAAACTACATTACTAAAATGAAGGGAAAAAGTGAAGGTTGAAGTAAAGCTAAGAGTAATATCTTAAATGTGAAAAAGTACTAAATTCTTCCTAATCCAAAAACAGAGAAAAATCTTGAAAAGAAAGCGTTCTGAATAAATTCTGCAACTGAAATCAACTTTTAAAAACTACCATTAAAACAAAAAAGCATATGAGAAAGAGGCATATATGATAAGAAAAATCTGTTCAAAATCTTTGGCCAAAAAAATTTTCATTTAAGAGAACTATATTAAATATTTTAAATGAATCTACAATAAAAGGCATTGGATTATATAAAGTTTGTAAAGGTACACTGAAGGTTCTTAAAACAACTACAAAATAATATTATAAAAATATAATAGTATTACAGAAAGATTTTTAAGAAAAAATAATCCTAGCACAAGGATCAAAGTTTTTGTGTATAGTAGCAAGAAAAGAGTATTTAAAAGTCAGACTTGAATTTCAATTCCAGCCCTACCTGTTGCCTTTGTTTCCAAGGGCAGGTTACTTAACTAAGCTAAGGCAAACTAGACAGACCACTGTGCATATTGCATGATGGTTCCAAACAAGGTGCCTACCATAGAGCCTGGGAGATGTCAAGTGATTAATGAAAACTAGTCCTTTTTTCCCAGTCTTCTCTTATCTGTATGCATAATTTGCCTAGAGGCTACCTTCATGTGCCTACAATTTGAATTTTGCTTTCTTTCCCCATTTTAATGTTGTGCACATTTTCCCCCTGTTGCTAAACATTTTCATTGTTACCATCTTAGTATTATACAGAAAACTCCTATCTGTAACATTTAGGTTGCTTCAAATTTTCAGTATAGCTTCACACATAAGTCACTTTCTTTCTTCTGGGTTATTTCTTTCGGATAAATTTCTGAAACTGGAATTGTGGTTTCAGAGGATATAAACCTCTTAATGGCCTTTGATACATCTTACCAAACTCCTTTTGACCAGGTTTGTACAAAATCAAATTAAATTAATTTCTAGTTTCACTTTCTCATTATTTCTGGTTTACCTAGTGTTTCCCCAAATGTCCAGTATTATTTTCCAGTTATTTCAGAGAAAGGTTTATGATATCATATCTGACATTAAAGATAAAATGGGCATTGCCTCAGCAGACAAAAATCAGTGTTTCTGCAGCTTCAGCCTTTGGGGTAAGGAAATCAAAATACCTTAATCTTGAATGGAGTTGAGACTTGAGAAAGGAAGTTGACAGAGCCATTTTAAAATGACCTACGAGGTTCTGACATGCTGTGATTTTAAGTAATGATGAGCAGACCAAAGCTCTATAACCATAGGTACTTGGGAATGGGAGAGATGACCCTTTATAATGCCCCCCAGTCTACCCCATATCTATTCAAACTCCTATTTACTGAAGTATATTAATATATAGTTGCTCAATGCTTTTCCTTTCAAAGTTAAGTATGTTTCAGAACCACCACCAGAATAATCACAACTGCCTACAGAAGAAAGTCTAATCTTTTTAGTCTGGCATTAAGGACCTCTCCTCTTTATTTTCCAGTTTTCTATTTTTACAGCGTCACTGTCACAGTGCCTTACATGTCCTTTCCTCCACTGTCTTCCACATTCTATCTACATGTCAAGACAACTTCAGATATAATTTTCACTAGATTTGCTCCAAGTCTCCAAGCTGGAAGTATTAATAATAATGATATTGCTTTTGAACTCTTAACTGTACTACATCTCATCTCTCATCTGTCACTTTATTTTCCACCTGTGCTATAATTATGCATATCCTATTTTCCTAAAAAGATAAGCTCCTTAAGGATAAGATGTGTGTTTGTTTTCTTCTAAAGCACTTGCCATGAATATATAGGTAGTCAGTAAACATTTCTCAATTAATGAATGAATTAAAAGGATATACCAAGGGTGTAAAGATGAGTCTTCCTGTCTGTAAAGAACGTTTTAAGGTCTACATCTGGAGGTTTGGCATGTTTCTCTTCAAAAACTCCAGTTATGGGATGTTTATGTCTGAAGATAAAATGAAGTTTATACTCTTCTCCACATTTATCTGGTCCAAACATAATGGTATAGGATGTTTTATCATAAAAGTTTTCCTTCAAAGAGAGATGAGTGTTGGGATTAGCCCAGAATTACAGTGTATTTAATGAATTTCTCTATTTTATCCAATGGGCAGAATTCACAAAACTATATCAAATGCTAATTCAAAGAACTACTTAACACAAATGACAATAAGGATATGGGAAAATGACAAATTTTACCCCAAAATAGATTTTAAAAAAAACACACACTACTTCCTTCCTAAAGACGTAAGAGAGAAGCTAAAACCATCCTAGCAGCATCATAATAAGCTTTACTTACTTTATGTAAATCTGTATTAATATTTTATTGAGAGAATTAAGCTTTACAGGAAAGTGTATTTATGACCTTAAGACTAAAATGATTATCTATTACTATTATTCAGGAAGACACCAGAAAATGACTTTTTGAGCATGAGATGAAAAGAAATTCAGACACGGAAACAGACACAAAGACAAGCTCCCTCTTTTACTACCAGTAACTTCTCCTTATTTCACATGGCACAGTGGTTAAGAGCGTGAGGTCTAGAGTCAGTTGCTGGGGTTCAAACCCTACCACTGCCACTTCAGCTAGCTGCATGTGAGTAATTTTCTAACCTCTCTGCACTTCTACTCATCACCTTGGAAGTAGGGAGATGATAATAGTACCTACCTTATGAGGTTTCTCTGAGGATTAACTGAGTTAATCAGATAAAATTAAGTCGTATTACTTACAGAAATGCTTGGCATTAGATTTTTTGTGGTCCTACCTTCAAGTGACCATTCATCATCTTACAACCTCTAAAACACTTTGACATTTACTACAATGGCCTCTCTTCACGTGATGCTAATAACTAGTATGCGGAAAAAGCTTTAATTCACATTTCATAGCCTAGGCACAGCCATGCATTCTGAAAAATATCTCCCTGATGTCTCATTCATCTAATTTCTGTTACACACAGAGACCCTGACACAGCCTCCTGTAGGAGAATGTTATAAGAAATGTCCCTAACCCTAAAGTGGTCCTAATACAACCTCTTAGACTTACAAAGCTACTTCATCATGAAAAGTTTTTAAAATCAGTTATCTTCTGTGGGTTGCCAATAACTGAACTGGCCCACGTCTTTTATCTGACTTTTTGGCCATTTCATTTTACTGCTTTGCTCTGTTATCTTACTCCTCTCTGAACAAATTTAAGGTTCTTATTTTGTAAAGAAAATAACTCTAAGCTGATATTTCAAGGGCATTTCTAAGCACCATGTCATTTTTTATTTAACATGGTAAACGTTTTATGTTACTAAAGATCACAAAATTGATGCTTTCAAGTAACACAGCTTTATATGAAACTTGAAGGCAAATTGTAAAAGCTATATAAACTCATGTTGGAAAAAGATATTTGAAGTTCTTTTTCAATTTCAGTTGAAAATGAAATTTTCAGTTTTATCAATTACTCTTTAAAAATACTTATTAACTTTAATAAGGTTTTCTTAAATATTAAAATATCATACCAGAATCAAACCATCAGTGTCTGCTAGAAGCTTAATGTATGCACCTCCACAATCAATACCATCTTGAAAATTTACTTCATATCTAAATGAAGGGAAAAAGAACCATACTGCTGATAAATAAAAATTTCTAATTGCTCTTTAAAATCTAATGTATTATTCTCAATTCGTTTAAACATAAATGCTTTACATTACCAGAAATCTCATACAAAGCATATCTACAATCTATAAGAAATAAGCAGAAATGCTTTTCTACTACTATAAGACACATCATTAAAACAGTAAAAGTAGAATGATTATAATTAACTATAGAAAAACCAATTTGTTTAAAAACTTTTTCCATCAAAACTGATAAATTAAGAGTAAAATACTTTGACTAAAACTATAACAGCAAATTTCAAATTCTGATAAGGTAGGAACTATACATATTTATGAACTAAAAAAAACAAAAGCCAGAAGAACAGACTTCTAAGAAACTGCTAATGATCTTAAGTATCAAGAGTTCACTACTAATTTGTCTTTTAGTTCAACCACACCTCAGTCATGTTAAATAAGTTGTACATTGAATTAAATAGCTGTAGCAAAGATTTCATAATCTCAATAAATAACCTTGAGTATTTCAGACCTAAATAGCCAAGACAGATTGGAAATTTTAGCTGTTTAGTGTAACAGCTAAAAAGTGTGAACTAACACGAGAGTCTTCTCATGGATTTACAACACAGTGTAATTCTCAGTGAAATTTTTTGGTTTTTGTTTTCTCAAAGGAAAAAAGACAATGAGGCATAGACCTATTAAACAGCATTTAGTAGAGATTTTTAGTAAATTGATGAATTATATGTGTCAAAAATCAATGAGGAAATGGCTGTCACAGCGAAAAACAGTAAAAACCAAAAAGGTTACGATTTCATTAAATGAATTAAAACAAAAAGAGATGAAAACTAGAGAAGTAACTGGAAATAGTGATCATTTTTAATAAAGGACAATAGTTTTAAATGTTTCTGAAAAAACTTTAGTAACAAGATCAAAAATAACAGCATACAAAATTTTAACAGTTTGAACCCAATTAGTATGTATATTTTGTATAAAAAAACCCAAAGAAACAGTAAAATTACTTAATGATTATCTCTGACTTCCAAAACTATGGGTGGTTTTCCCCTGTACTTTCTGCTATGCTTTATTTTTCAAGCTATCCACAGTAGTGGTTACAAGCATGCACTTTGAAGTCCAAAAGATCTAAGATTTACTCTTGATTTTGCCATTTACTCTAGTGACACCTTGGGTAAGAGCAAGTTATTTAAGCTCTAAGTATCTATTTAGTCATTTGCAGTATGGGGACATGGTCCATACTTACACCTCAAAGGACTGTTATGATGATTAAAGGATATCATGCAAAATATTGGGCAAAAAAATGCTCAAAATACTGGCTTCTGTTTTGGTCAGAAGAAAAGTATTCTTTTGTTCTTTTTCATTTTTTGAATAAAGGAAAGTTTGTTTTCCTCAAAGCCTTATCTTTATTTAAGCAAAAGCTGACAATTTTTTTTTCATGGAACTTATGTCTTTGAAGACTATACAGTAGAAGACATGGTGTATGATGTGACTTAAGGTCACTATTGTCAGGAAAAAATAAAAGAGATACTGTTTCATTATAGGTCATCTAAGGACAAAGGATTCTGTGACAAAGAATGAGGAGGAACAATTTTGCAAACTGGCTCTGTAACTGTGACCATAGCTTTGTTGTCCTGCTACGTCTGGAGTCAAATCACTTTGTCCATTTCTCTTACTACAAATTTTCAGAGTTTTCAAATCATTAACTTGTACCTAATATAAGTAATTTACAATGAATTAGAGGATCAACCAAATGTTTATCTTATAGCTTGACTGTTGCTAAACTTCAGGTTACAGGAAAACCGAGGACATATGCAGAGTACATGTTAACCTTAATTTTGTTAGAGTATCATTTCACAAACTGTTCCAGAAATGGTAATTATTGTTGGGGGGGGAAATAAACTTATGTGGTCAAACGTGTTTGGGAAATACAATATTAAAGCTGCACACAGGTTTTTACATGTAGAATCTCTCAAAGTCTTTGATGGGCTAATATGCTTTCCATCTCTTAAATCTTATCTATTCAGTCTTAGTTTCCAAACTGTATATGATCACATAATACATATTAACATGTACACAATTTCTAAAAAGCAGTTTTAAAGTTATGTCATAAATCCATTGCATTTATAGTGTTTAATATAAAACCTCTTCATTTTATTCAGCTCATTTCATTTTACCAATATTAAGAGAAGACAAACATTCACTCTCCTTCTCTGAATTGAAAGAATGCTGTTCAAGTCTTGGTTCTCCTTTTTATTTTTCAGGATAATCATTTCACATTTAGTAATTTTCTTAGACTTATTTTCTAATCTTTTCTTTTAATCTTGCAAGCTATCATTTGCTTAGTTGCCCAGTAGTGACTCATATTGAAAATACTAAATTTGATACATTTTACTCTGGAGAAGTTAAATTTTATATTATTTTCCTTTACCCTTTCATTTAAGCCACAAAGGATCAAAATAGAAAGTGATATTATATTCACCTAAGTTTCAAGATAAGATTACCTTCAAACTCTCAAGTAAAAACAAAAAAAGGTCCCAAATAATAATACCAAACTCAAATATTAATCCCAATAAATACCTAACCAATATTTTAAATTTGTTTAAATAATGGTCATATATGCCCTTTAACATTACTTAATATTTTAAATTCATTAAAATGACTTAATGTAGACTGAGCCAAAGCACATTACAACTGAAATATTAAGCCAGTTACATGAAATGCCATATTTTCAAAAATCTCCAAAATACAAGATAGTATTTTAGTTACACCACAAAGGAATATGTTTAACATATCAACAAAAACATGAAGGGGTTCTAGAGTGATATAATTTACAGTAATATTTCTGTATGCGGTACAGTAATATTTCTGAAGACAGCCAAAGTTTCTCATATAAGGTGAAAAGTAACATTTATACATTTTCTTTTCTTTCTTTCTAATTGTAATTTTAAGGGTTTTGTAATTGTGTCTGCATAGATTTATTTTGGTTTCATGGTAGTATAGGGAAAATAAACTTCAGCAATTTATACCTGACTTTATGACTCTCACATGCAAGCAACATCACTAGTTCATGTCAGTGCTGGTGGAGGAGAGAATATCAGTGAAAACAAGTGACCTTTAAAAGGGTTCCATGCTTGAAAGACATTGGTATATGCATATTAATACATTTCCTTTTAAAATAAATGTGTTGCCTTCAAACGTTATCACTGGTTTAATGGTAGTATTTATGGTTCTATTCTGAATATACTGAGTTTGTTATCTTGAGAGCAAGTAATTTTAAGAATAAAAAAATGATTTTACTGTGCATTATATAGACTATAGTGGCAGAATTGTATATGTTATATCATTTTATCATTAACCTGCTTTTCACTAAAAATAAGGGTGTGTTTGTATGTATAAGTGCATTTGTATATTTAACTAAGTGAAACTAAAAAGGAAAATCTGCATTTTTATACTTATTATCAAAATACAAAGCCATATTCAAAAGCCGAAACTAATGCAAAATTCAGAAAAAGTATTTGAAAAAATAATAAAACTTACTGAACTATCAAAGGTTTATCAGCAAAAATAAAGGGTTTTGCTAATACAGCAGATATTGCATGATGCTTTGCTCTAGATTTTAATACCAATCCTCTGTCACCAGGTATCCGGTTTTCTTTCAGCCCTTCTATTTCCCATCTTCCTAAAAAAATAAAGCAAAGCAAATTAAACTAAAACAGAAAACACTTGTGAAGAATTATTTATCAGCAGTTGTGAACAATAATTTTTTTTCCATGAAGGCTGATTTGGGAAAAATAAAAATTTCAATTTAGGAAATATCTGCAACTATATGCATGCCTGCTCTTTTTTCTTTTATTTTCCTTTCAGAGAATGGCTTCATTTTCTTAACTAAAATTATGAAAACTAATAAATAACAAACACTACAGTTTCCTATTAAGGCACTGTTAAAGACAAATTTGGTTTTCTGTGAAAGACTTTTTAATCAATGGAGTTATAAAGTGTGGTTTGTCCCATAGAATCTATCAACAGTTTTTAAAATGAAATATTTAAAATTGCACATGAGACAAGAACATCCTTAACACAAAATGAGCAGTCTGTTTTAGTGTATTTATTTTGAAATGCATGGTGTTCATCAGCTGCATTCTTACTTGTAGCAGTTATGGTAAGGATTTAAATTTTATCGTGAAGACTGTACTGGCAATTCACACAAAGCCCTTCCAGGCCACGCCAATTAGCTCTCAGAAATTTTGGCCAGGAAAGCAGCAAAGCACTGGATAAGCAACCAGGTATAATACGGCAAAGCTGAGTTAGGCCCTCTTTGGACAGGAATTTCCCATGTTTAATATCAGGATGCTCCTGAAATTAGATAATGGGCCACATACAATTCAAAGCTATATAGGCTACCTGTAGCTCAAAAGTTGTATGTTAGACTTTACTCCTTTACCCTATTTAGAATAGAAAATCAGCCTAATTTGTATAAAATATTCTACTTCTGAAAATTAAAGGTGCTGCTTATTCCAAGAAATTTCCATTCAGCAAAAACTGGCTATTTTCTAGTATTGTGTTAACTCAAAATATTTATTAATGAGTACTTTTGAATGACTAATGCTCTTTTATTACTTTTTTCTTTCTTCAAGAAAAAATGCAAGAACCAAAACAGTCCTATGAATCAAAGAGGGGTGATTTTTGGTCTATTATTGTAAACACTTTATTAGACTTTAGAAAAATGTGGGGTTTTTTTAAGTTTCCAGGTTTCATTCCTTTTTTCCCTCTAATTTGATCATACTCTACTTTTTTAAAAAGATGAATTTATTTGGCTCTCACATCATGATTAATTATATTACTACTACTAACCTGTGGTTTGCCCACCTCCACAAAAGGTCTTATTTTAAGAAATAACAACGTTATCTTTTGGATTTTCAAGGTATTGATAAAACTATATTGCTGTCCTTGCAATCATGTACATACATTTATTAGCTACGAGAAAGGAATCATCTAGCACTTCAATTTTGGAAAACTTGTAACAAGGTAATTATCCCTCAATGACAAGTTTTTTCCAACTTCAAAC